GGTCTATCTCCGAGGAGATAGACGCGGAACTTAGCCAGTGCGTACTTCATGGCAAGGAGTTCCTTGTCATGCACTGGGTAATTGCGTTCAGCTGGTTGCAGCTGACGCGATTGATAGCAGACGACGCGCTCTGCGCCGTCTGTGTCATACTGCATCAACGCACAGCCGATAGCAAAATCGCTGGCGTCACAGACCACATGAAATGGTCTGTCCTGATCTGCAATCGCCGAGATGGGAGATTGCATCAAGTTTTTCTTGATACGTTCAAAGGAACGCTGACAGTCAGCGTTCCATGACCACTTCACATCTTTCTTGAGCAAGCAATGAAAGATGAACAGTCATCTCGGCGTAATTGCGCGAGTACTTGTGTAAGTACGCCGCTAAGCCAAGAAACTTACGAATTCCCTTGACATCGACTGGCACTGGCCAGTCGGTGATCGCCTTGATCTTTTCGGGATCAGGGCGTACGCCGTGTTTACCCACGATGCACCCAAGAAGTGGTATTTCGCTAGCCGCGAATATACACTTCTTGAGATTGGCATACAACTTATGCTTGCGCATAAGTTGAAGAACCTGACTAACATGAGTTCTGTGAACCTCAACGTCCGTCTTTCCGTCCAGAGCCCGGCTATGGACGAACACATCGTCGAAGTAACTCGGTGCGAAGTCTCGCACCGGTCTCAACAGATTTGTGACACATCTGTTGAATGTTGCAGGGGCATTACTCAGCCCCTGTGGCATCACTAGCCACTCCCACAGCATACCGCTGGGGGTGATCACTGCTGTGTACGGTATGTCCCGTACACGCATGAGGATCTGATAGAATCCGTCCATCATATCCATGAACGAAAAGATGGTACTCTTTGACATACCATCTATGATTACGTCCTTCCTCGGTATCGGCGTCTGATCCGGTACCGTTGCAGCATTCAACTTGTTGAATGCGTGCACTATCCGCCATCCTCCTGTGGCCTTTCGCACACAGAAGGTCGGAGAGCTGTGAGGGGAAGTTGATTCCCTCACATGGCCCGCTGCTAAGCGATCGGTAAAGAACTTGTCGATCGCTAGCACTTGTTCACGAGGCAGTGGCCACTGCCTCATGACACAGTACTTCGAGCCCGTCTTGAGCTCGATCTCGTGTCGAGTGCCTTTGTCCTTAGGCAACTCGCATGGCACGGATTCAGGGAATACATCCTTGAATTCGATCAAATCCTTATACAAAGGATTTGCCTGAAGTGACTCCCAGGATTGAGACGTGTATCGCTCAATCCGAGTCTTCTCATCGAGGACACTTTCGTCCATCGATGAACTGCTGAGAACCCTCTCGTTCTCAGTAAACACCGTTGCCGATCGAATATCGGTAACGTACTCGTCCTTCGCGACGAGTGCACAGATCTGCTTGACTTTGCCAGTGCGCAGATCACGCAAGAACCGTTTCGGTTCTAGCGTCGGCAATTGAGTTATCTCCGAAGTTAGTTTCGGAGGCACAACCAGATCAAGCGTGTAAGCGCCTACTCTTGATCCATCATTAACTAAGACATTCAATGTCTCGATTACTTCCTGGTAAATCACTTCCACAGGGTCCTGGAGAGCTTTCTCCACAATGTAGTGATCATCTACATTGTGTTCGTGTACAGTCGTGCTAACGACCGTACCACGAGTGAGGCCATCGCACTCGCTCGTATACACCCACGTAAATGTGGGCGTTCCAAGACATTCTTCAGGTCGTCATCTGAGGAACAAGTAGCATGTATCGTAACTGATCGATGCTGCCAGCTCACCCTTGGCTCATATCTCCTGAGCCAAGGTAGTCCTAGGATGACATCAAACTTGTCATCCAGGTCGAGTACGATGAAATCATCATCGTACTGTTCGCCTTTAAACGTGTAGTGGATTCCGACTACACGTTTCTTCACAGTGATCGATGCGTCTGTCTCTAGGCGCACCGTCATTCTCGTTGGAGGGATCTTCCGCTCCACGAAGTTGAAACTTCCTGCCTCTAGCGACTGGCGACGAACAAAATTGTTCGACGCCTCACAGTCAACTAGGGCGCGAAGTGACAAGTCCTTTGTCATTTCCAATATCAAGGTGATGAGAGACACCTCATCACCGAGTGCAGAGACACACAAGGACTGCGTGTCGGGAGCAACCTTCGTCAAGAGATTTGCAAATTCTCTTGATGTTGCTGGATCAGTAGGACGCTCCGCCCCTACTGACCCCGACCATTTTTTGATGGTTGGCCTCGCTGTTGCGGCTGTGCAACAGCATCGGACCCTCGCCTTCCGGTTTTTCTTACTGGTGGACGATTACTGCGCTCAGCACAGCGAGGTCCTGAGCGGGGGATACTGCATTCATATGCGTAGTGTCCCAGTTTATGACAGCGATGGCATCTCACCGATCGCTTGTCATTCAAAGGGCGAGTTTTCTCGCCCTCGACATTACAGAGGTCCATTGGCTCTGGACTTCTGACCGCTGATCGTCTCTGCGGATGAAAGGGGGTCAGCGTAGTGTGAGCCTGTCTTACACTAAAGTCTTCCTGCTCCGCAGCGAAGATTGCTTCGGAGAGCGTCTTTAGCTCTCCGCGGAACACGTGGTCCCTGACGGGACCATCGGACAGCCCTTGAATGAATATTGTGATCAACACAAATTCACTCACAGGGTTCACTACCATGCAGCTTGCAAGGTAGCGTACATGCTGAGCGTAAGCGTGAACCTTACGCTTACCCTGTTTGATTCCGAGGAGTTCAGATAGTGTCCTGAACTCTGCCCTGGGAGGCTCAAACGTCTCGCTGAGCAGGGTCTTGAAGATCCTCAACGACCTAAACGTGTTTGGGTCGTGCAACTTGAGATTCAGGGCCCATTTCCTGGCGTCCCCTGACAAGTACGACTGAGCGAATGCAACTTGCGTTCGCTCGTCGTCGATGCGACGGGCCTCGATGGCATCGTCGACTTCGACGAACCATCTTAACAGGGAGTCGTCCTCGGCTCCGTGATACTTGGAGATCTCTAGCTTTATAGATCCCGGTCGACGCTCCCGTGTCGACTGCGCGGACTGAGACTGTCTCAGTTCTTCGTTCCGCTGGTGATCTTGTTGTTGCAACAAGGTCACCTGCGCTCGCGACTCATCAAGTTCTCGTTGCAAGAACTTGCTAATGACCGAATGCTGCTGGTCTCTATCCCTTGTGGATAGCATGGCCCAGATAGCTTCTTTGCCAACGGTCGAACTCATTCGTTCGATCGCACTCCATTCGATATCGCTCAAATGGGAGTAGCTTTCACGGGTTCCGTGAAATTTGTCGCCTTCGACTTCGTCCAACATGTTCATGTTGGGCGATGCGAGTGTGGTCCTTGGACGGACTACAAAGTGCTACCAGGTGTAACGGGGCACCGACGACTACGTACTGGTCAACCAGTACGGAGTTTACTATCACTGACTGTAGTGATAGTCAGTGCCCAGCTAGGTGTAGAACTACACAGAGGAAGGTAGAACGACTAAGGTGAAAGAATCTAGTCGTAGAAAAAGTAAAATTGTTATTAATATAATTAAGCCCTATAACTCTTGTATCTCCGTTTGTCCTGACTTAATTATACTAATGTAACTAAATGTATGATGACGTCTACTCACCACCCATTGCGCGCGTCTAGCAGCGATTGGTGGGTTGATATCATCACGATATCAACCAATGAGTAGACCCTTCGGTCATCTTCAACAATAGCATCATGCTCTGTGATATTGTTGAAAGAATATTCAACGTAATATTCTTTATTGTCATTTTCTTCGTAATGACAATATCATGTAACGGGCTACCCCGTTACATAAGGTCTCTATCGACCTAACAGATACAGAGGTTCAAGATCTCTTATTCTTTCCTGGAGTATGATTTAAAGTCCGACTGAACTGGCTGAGGCTAAGCCCTATCGTCTGAAATAGACACAAAGCGTGTGGACATAGTCACTACTATTTGGGCTTGTACCTGCCCTTTTGAGCTTCAATTAGTGTCTTTATATAGCTCTCGAGACGCGCGCTCAACACGTCCGGGCCTAGCTACACACGTAAGTTTTACATACTCCGGGCCCACACGCGTGACCAGCTTATCAAGAACGACCTTTTGAGGTCAGAAACGGAAGTGGACTGTTCCATTCTCAAAGGGAATCAGTCTCTTACACAATCAGGCGTAGATTGACTATGATTGCTACCAAGTGTACCGAAGCTGGTAGATTTCCTGGTCAAAGGAAGGCTTTCTGTTAAGCGAACAAGGTAGTCCTTTTTAAGAACTAGACTTTACGAGTCATCGAGCTTACAGCACTGTCCCTTGTTCAAGGGGCCTTGACGATCGACTGCACAGTGTGCTGGCGAGTCTATATCTAAACAAGTAGCGACTTTCTGATAACCTGAGACGCCTTAAGTAGGCACGTGTCTTACGAGGATAAAAAGGGGAACTAAACTTTATCTATTTTATCCAAAAGAACACCTCAGACTAAACGTACTTAATCTAGACCAAATGCTCTGATTCATACCTCTTACAAGATTTCGTATTTGGTGCCTGACACACGTCAGCCCCCAACAACTGATACGGTGTTCAAATGTCGTTTATAATGAAATCTCATCCCTGGTGTGAACTTCACCTGTACTGTCGGTTACCACCCAAAGTGTAACCCCGTTACAGAATGACCAGGCCGAGATCGTTATCATCGCGTTGATATCTTTTCCCTTGGGGACGATGTGGAAGAATTCTGCTGGACCGTTGACCGTATCGGACGTGAGAAGGTATCACCGCTCCCTTTGACCGAGGCATTGGTGGATTAGCCAGCACTCGCACAAATCGATCTCGCCCCCAGACCATCAGAATTTCATCCAGCACCTTTTGCCTCGAGGAGCTCCAACCACGGGCACATCATTACCGGATCATCTCAAACACACGCGTCCTGGGTGTAGTGCAGCGTTGGATGTAGACGGTAAACAATCGTGTCGACAGCAAGAGCACGACAAACCTGTTCCAATGACGGAAATAGACTCGACAGCAACCGCATCGGTGTTCCTACCGCCTCCTCTCAACGCACTGTTGGCACCTGTGGCGGGCAGCACTGGCATTAGTGGCGGCCGTCTTAGTTTGCATCGCATACCACCCGGATACGAAGGAGGTGAAGCACTTACCACTTCACCGTTTCCTGTCACTGCTACCTTCACAACTCCAGTGCAGTCCGACGCCTTCGTGAACGACACGGCGAGGGAGAAGTCTACGACAAAAGACTCGAGTGCTATCAACAGTGACGACCTCCCGCTTCTTCAGCCGAAGGGAGGACAGGCCAAGCGAGACGGTCTTGCTCTCGATCGAGCTACATCTGATGTCTCGGCAGCAAGTTCGGTGACTGATTCCAGCGTCTCGATGGACTACGAAAACATGAACAGCTTTCTCGACAGCGTAGCACTCGAACTCGACGACATCATGGAGTGAAGAGCTCTAGTGCTATTCGACTGATATCCCTTGTTCCTGTCCACGTGATCGATGTTGCACCTCTACTATGCACATTCTTGTCCGTCTGGAAAACTCCACCTAAAGACACAAAAGCATATCCACAATTGTCGTTGCATACGTGTATTCTCGTCCATTCCTCCTCCGTCGATGCCAGCAGACAGTACCATGTACTGCATGACAACACTGGCTCATAGAATGCTTTCAGTCGTAGCTGAATCGATCTCCATCATCACTTGTCTGGTCTTCCAGCTCTTTGCGACATCGTTACCATGCAAACATCCTTGAGCCGGCGTTCGGCGCCATCCTGGCCACCGAAAAAGTATATACGTCCATCGCTGTGCATCGTAGCGCCATGTCCAACAAGTCCTCGTGGCAATGCATCAGTATGCCCATCGTCTGGGTTGCAGATAGCACCGGACTGCCACTTCCATGACTTCGTGTCTCAGATGAACGAATCGCTGAACACACTTGTTAATGCACTTGCATCATCCCGCTGTGGATCCCAACCGCCAAAGATGAAATGCAGCCGTCATCCAAAAGCGTCGTCGAGTGACCTGTGCGATCTCGTGGAGGCGTACCAACCATAGGGGGTTGAAACCACGTCCACACTGGATCACTTGACGTCTCTTCTACTTTTCTTTGCAACACGTGCACCTCATTAGAGCTTTTGGAAAAGCTATTGCCTCCAAAGTAAACGATTTTGTCGCCGACAGCGATAGCGATAGCACTATGATATGTGCAAGCGCTAGGAGCTTTTCCTTCAGCTTGTGCCGTCTTCCAGTTCCAGTCGTCTACACCAGTAACAACAACAACAACAACCGCAACAACAACCGCAACAAGAGCGATCGCAGCAGAAACGCCAGCACACTTGTCGCTTTTCGCACGTTGGCCGTCATTTCTTGCTCACCAGTGTCCAGAATGTGTACCGTGCTCCGCCGATTCCGTCCTGTTCTACCACCAAACACCACGGCCTCGTTCCCAATAGCAGTGCAAGTATAACCGCTTCTTGCCGACGGAGGTGGCCCACGAATGGCCGGTGGAAACCACAGGAAGCACTCGGTGTCCAGTACCATAACGTCGGAAAGAACGGCAAGCTCACCATCACCGCTTTCCGTGCGCTCGCCCCCAAACACAAGCACTACATTCTTGAGAGGCAGGTGCACGGCGTCGTGCCACGTTCGCGGGATCGTTTCGCAGTTGATTGGAGTCGTCCAGCGGTGTGTTTGCATGTCAAACACGTGCAAGTCCCCTAGTGTTCGCTCCTCGTCATCGATTCCACCGTAGGCCACCACGCGGTCGTTCGAGATCTTGGTAGCAGTATGGCCCCAGCGCTCAGTCGGGGCGTTTCCTATCGACTCGATCGTCTCCCACGCTGTGTCCTCAGCCACACGCAGTCACGACTAACTTGCAAGACTACACCAAGGACACTCGCATTGCGTTCTCCTTTACCTAACAACAAACAAACAACAAACAAACACACGGTCCATCAGACCTGCTGCTGCCTTTGACATTGACACGCCTCTGACCCGTTCCTCGACGCATTTGCTCGGCGAAGGTTCAGGTTGCACCTCGCGCTTATTGTGTCGATCTGTGCTGGAAGCACGTGCTGCTTTGCGAGCGCTCGACTGCTTCAGATCACGTGACGCCGACAAGCGATCCACCACACTGTCCGTCAGTGACCTTTGTGTCTGCTTCTTCTCCGTCGTCTTCTCCGTCGCCACGCATCACTACCGGTCGTGCCCCCAGCTGCCTCCAATCCTTCTTCTGGTCCATTCTTCAGCTCTCTCCAGTAGCACCAAAACATCGTCTGCCGGTGCGGTTTGCTCCTTCGACGGTCCATTCAATTGAGCCAACAGTACCGTCTGCTCTGCTTCATTGAGGAAACTCGGCCGCAGCCGTTTACCGTCCGCTTGAGACACGCGATCGTAATCCCTCGGACCACTCGCGTCGTTCGGTCGTTCCGTTTGCTGCTGAGAACAAGCGCCTGTCTGCTGCGGCGGCGGCTATGCGCGACTTGAAGCTGCGGTGCCTGTCACATGTCACACACACACATGTACCCATGAGTGGACGAAAAAGACAGAAGCGGTCGAGTCGGTCCCGCGCGCGACCGGTACACACCCACCCACACACGATCCTCACAGACGGTACGTACGTTGGCGCAACACGACGTCCCCCGTGAAGTTGCAGCAGTGGATCGTGAGCGTCCCCGCCGTCACGTCGGACTCGATGGTAGCCACGTTCGAGGGGAGCTCGACGTCGACACCTTCGTACGACACCCGCAGCATCGTTGTCCCCCTTGTCCGGCGGTTGGGGTTGGATACTTCCTGGAGACAACGAGTCGCGCGTGGCGGGTGGAGTCGCGCCACTAGACACCGTATATCCACCCGCAAGTACGAGTATCGGGCAGTGCATGTTCCACGTGTTTCACTTTGGCACGGCGGCTGCGGGTGTTATCTGGCTGTACTACTTGACGACGGTGTACGCGCAGCAGTACCTTGGGACCACGCGCGGCCGACGCTATCGTGTAACACACACGTTGCCAGCTAGTGAGACGGACGGGTGTTTCAGCTCGACGGTCAACGTTGACGCAGACGCGGGCGATGGATACTGTATCGGGAACGTGCCGTTTATGTCGTGGGTCATGTACGCCATGATGATTTTCAGCGAGTTTCTCAGTTTCGTTGTGGCGCTGCTGTTCAACTTCAGTATGTGGCGTTCGATTTGTCGTGGTGCGCGGTACATGGACGACTTCGAGCTGCCCACTCCCAGGGAACAGTGGCCGATGGTCGACATCTTGTTGTGTGTCTACGTGGATCCGGTCACGGATTCGATGCAGACACTGAAGAACTATCTTTCGCTGCAGTATGCGCCCGAGCTTCTCGACATCGTTGTGCTGGATGTTGGTTACTATAAGTCTGTGTGGGTTGCGATCGACCACTTGAAGGTGACGATGAACTCCAATGTGGTTCGATTTGTGGTGATTTGCGTGGCGACCTTGCGCGGCTCATGCACGAGCGTGTGGTGGGCCTGTGCAAGACGACCAAAGCTTGGGGACGTGGCGTCGCCAGCACAGCTCTGTCCGTGAACTCCGCAAAGAGGGTGGAAAGGGTGCGCAGCGTCGTGATTGTTCTGTCGGCTCGCTTTCGGACGACTTCGACTTCCGTGAGCGCGGTATTCTGCGTGTGACTTTCATTGGACGAATGATGCCCGATACGCCCCACTCAAGGCTCGAAAACATAACCAATTGCTTGTTCAACGAAGGTGCTGACGGCACGTATGTGCTGATTCTGGATAACGACATGAAGCCGTATCCGAAGCTTTTTGCTTGCGGTGCTGTCGTTCTTCTTCTCGGAAGGCGAGGCCGCCGACGGTGGAGGTCTTCAGTGCAGCGACGATATTTCGTGGACCCACGTGTCGTACGGGCAGACTTCTGCAGACTCCTCAGTACTTTGAGGACCAGTTCAGTTGACGATCATGGGTGACCGGTGCGGGCACAAGAACGCCATTCTCGTTGACGCTGTGCAGCGTGGCCGTGATGGTTTTGACTCGGCAGCTTTTGCCGGCTCGAATGCTGTGTTCTGTCGCCAAGCCTTCGACTCGATTGGTGGTATTCAGTACGGTACTCAAACTGCAGATGCGTTTACGGGTAACGTGCTCTACACTTCTGGTTGGGACTCGGTGTACTTCCGCAAGGATTTCGAGGGCGATGCCAAGGGCCGTATTCGATTTTGCGGAGGTGCTGTTCCTGAAACAGTGGCTGCTGCTATGGGCCAAAAGAAGCGTTGGGCGAAGGGTGCTGTGCAGATTCTGCTGATGAATAATGGGAGCATAGTCGACCCGGACTGGCGTCCGCCGCGCGTGCCTGCCCCGGACCCGAAGCCGTCCCTTGTGTTCCCGCGCAAGATGTTTTCTACGACTCGGTGCTGTACCCGTTTTTGGTTCGATTACTGCCCTGCGTTACGTGGCGATCGCCATCTACTGCTTGTGCACGTTTGACGCGCCGATCTACGCTCGTGGAACGAAGATCCTGTACACTTTCTTGCTCGTGACGTTCTGCCGTTGGGTGCTGAACCTGCCGGTCAACCGCGCAGTCGTCAACAACAACGTGTGGCGTATGCAGCAGGCATGGCTTTCGTTGTCGTTCATTACGATGATGACAATTTTGAGGCCCTCCAGGCGCGCGTGGCGGGGAAGGACAAGTCAAGGGCAAACACGGGTGCTGGTCAGAAGACGTCGTGGATAGATATCACGGACGTGCATTTCTCCTTCACGCTGCTGTTCAGTCAGCTCGTGGCACTCATTCGTTTCGTTGAGTACGTGATCGCGGCGAATCCGTGGAACTACGTGTCTGCCGTGTTCTGTGGCATTTTCGTCATGAGCCAGTTGTACCCCATGGTCAAGAAGCGTGTTCCCGAGTCCAGCGGCTGGGACCATACTGCTGCCACCTTTACGGCGAATGTGTTTGGCTCGTTGCCCGTGGTCTGCAGTTTAGCCTTCGTGCAGCTATGGCAAGTCTACTACGCGGGCAATCTCCAAGTGGCCCAAGGCATCGTCACAGGCACGAATGGCCCGGCGGCGGCGACGAACCGGACGCACCGGATTGTGTCGCAAAGACGCGGATGGTGTTTGGTCGACGAGGAGCAGAAGGAGACACAGGATGCGATGCATGCCGAGCGCAGGTGACGAGAAGCGGTGGTGTGGTCTATCTGGCGAGCCGGAGACGCGCTCGCAAGTGCGCGCTGTCGTCGACGCTTTCCCTCTAGTACTTGAGGTGTCATTACAGTTTGCCGTCAATGCCGAGTTGTCGATCCTTGCGATGTGGGCACTGCTGTCCATCCTCTCGTGCACTTGTGTCTTGTCCACGCGTGGTAATGGCGCCAAATGGTATGTGTACTGGAGCATACGCGACGTTGGCCACCTCTGCTCGCCCGTCTTTGGTCTGACGGACGTGCAGTGAATCGTTACGTGTTGTGGTCGCACTTGTACTGAGGATGTAGGAAGTGAAAGTAATATATGTTGAGAGTAAATTACAGTCGGTTGTTAACCATACCTTTTGCACTTGGTCCGATCAAGTTACACGTGGTACACGTTTAGCCTGCCCATCAACATGTGCTGGCTGTAAACAATGTCGTCCGGATATCGCTGTCTCACTCATCAACTCCTCCTGATAGTCCGACATGACGACCCTCTTCTCTCGTACCCATATGTCCACCAGTCACATCTTCGTCCTACCTGTCAGCTTATTAGCCAATCAGGTGAGATCGGGACGTACCTGTAACGGGTCTTGCAGTTGAACACGGGAACTTCGATGACCTGTCAGAAAGCATATCTTCTAACACATGCCTTGCTATGACGCTTTGCAAGGGGTACGAATGCCGCAGCGTAGCGCTTATTTGCTTGTTTGTTCGAGCATGGACTACTACACTGTACGGCAATCGACGAGCACGGAGGAACTACTTTTGCTCAAGAGAAGACTAACGTTAACAAGCCAACTGCAATCGTAATAATACACTTAGTTTTGTTACTCACTTCAATAAGAACTACGTTTTCTTTTGTCTTTCATGGGGCTATCGACACCTATACGCTCTAGAACGTAGGAGCCAAGCACACCAACAGCACGCGTGGCAAGCAATCGCAATGATGACGAAGAGTAATGAGTCTTCATCAGTCACTGCGAATGCATGCCACGCTCAACTTCGTCCAAAAACACGCCACGTTCCACAGCTTCAACGGGGGTAATGAGCCCCGAAGAATAGCGGATCGCAACGCATTGTCGAACAAAGCCTGCTGCCATGCCTTGACCGCACCACGTTCCGGAGCCTTCGGTGAGCGATGGGCTCCGGGAGACGCAACAGAGAGCAATGGGTCTCTGGAGCGCCAATCCCGGAAGCTCCGTTGCCCTCTTCTGGCAACGTGTGTGTGGCTTAACACCCGTTGCCCAGCGCGATGCGTCTTCCTCCAGTCTTCACGCGCGTCTGTTTTTTTGCTGACGGAATCCTTGAAGCACCAGTACCGGCAGTCGCAGCAATGATCGCACGGGCAGCAGCAGTGGATTCCACACGCGCACGAGTGGATACTGTGCTTGCAGTCACACCAACACGCGCTCGAGCAGTAGTCGCTGGACGAACACGCGCACGGGAACCAGCAGTAGGTCCAGCGCCCACACTGGCAGCGACGTCCTTGGCACTTGCAAGCACGCGAGCGCATTTATCTTGGCCGGTTCTGGTTTTCTCGCGAGGCGTCGTGCTTGTCGTGGTTGCCGCTGCGACTGCCTTCACATGTGTCTTCTGCTGCATACGTGCCTTGTTCTCGCCCGTCGCTTCCGGACTGCTGTCTTGGAAGTCCTTCTGCTGCAGCACCAGCTGCAACTCGGACTCGCGCTGGACCTTGAGCTGGCCTTGCGTGGCCTTCAGCAGCTGCTTCTCCAGTCTTGCACTTGTGGCCTCAGCCTTTTCGGCGCGTTTCCGGAGCGCCAGCACTTCACTCTCCATCTTGCGCCGCGACTCGATACCTTCGACTCGCTCGTTTTCTGCCACCCTTGCCATGTCCGCTCGCAGCGCACTGAGGTGCGTCAGCGAAATGACTTGTTCCTGTAGCGCATCGTTCGCGCGTTGGAGCTCGCTGCACGAATGCAAGATTGCTTTGCATGTGCTTTGGATGAACGTTTCCGTGGTGTTCATTGCGAATGGGAGAGCAGAATGGAAAATGACAAAGAAGCACGCGGGGCGGCGGCGGAGTGGTCATGGAAAAGATTCATTCATTAACGTTAAGCGAAGTGGATATGGAAAATGGACTACTTCAACTGTAAGAGAAGTGGCCTGAGACGCGGCGGTGAGCCAAGTTGAAAATGGAGTAAAATGGCGCAAAAAACGGGCGCGCGGGTGGCGGCAATTGGGACAAGTCATTCATTTTATTTAAATGAGACGACGAAGTCGACGAGACCAAAAGATGTGATGGGTTGATCCGTGTAAGTAGGTTTTATTCGTGTTGAAGGTAAGAGAGTGGCGATGTATAGTGATGAGAGGTAGTTCTAGACGGCCAAACAGAAAATTTCATGCTGCCAGCTATCGTTTTGCTGTATATTTCGCAGTGTCGAAAGGCAATTAAGCATGTTTCGCTACTTGACAAAGCACAAGCTTGACATGATACTATGTCTAGCGTGTTTACCTTCGCGCTAACGCTCTCTCTGGGGTTCAGCACCATGGAGGCGTCGTCACAATGCTACTATCGCTATCCTCAAAGTTGACGCTGACATAACCGTATATTTTCTTGATGTCTTGTCGTTCTTATCTTCATCGCGCGGACTACCAGCTTCCTCCGATTCCCTGGCCGGTAATGCCCCATCGCGCTCGTCAGGTCACACGCACTCGTCCCACATCACCCGATGCTCCTGGTGACGTGCCAGCGAACCACCGCCACACAGTGCCATAACCTAGGAGCCTTCGAACCATCCACAAGCGTACAATGTTAGTCAGTGTGCTCGATTCCTATCGCAAATGTTGCCATCATCCTTACATGCTGTGGAAAAAGACACGACAGTCCGAGCTAGCAAAACAAACTGCAGCGTCGTCGCAAGATCACATGCCATGCTACACCAGCCCGCGAAGGATGGGCAAATTCGACAAGCGATACGAGAGTGAGTGGCCGAGTTTCCAATGTAGCCTACAAATTGCTACGGGACCGCTGCACAGGAGTACGCAACCGAGCACGGATGGGATCATTTTCGGCTAGAGATGTCATTCAACAACAAAACACTCAACAACGTTCAGTCGATCTCCATCCCTTTCGGAATGTTATGTCTGACCCTCACATACAGCTGCTATGTTATAAGACAACCACCCTCGCAATGCCTGCGACGCAACATTCTGGCTGTATCTTGCAGCACCGTCTTCAGATGCAGCACGGTCTCCATTGCATGTCAAGATGCCACTACAAAGCGTTCTGGGCAGCAAGTTGTGGATTTTGAGCCACATGCAGACTGAATGCGCAAACGGAAGTCCATAGGCTATGGGCACTTTGATCCACATTGTCAACACTGCCTCGTTGTCGAAAACCAATAGCAAGACATATCTAACGCTTCCATCCCGTACATGCAGAAACTCAGTCTGCATCTATGATGCGCAACGCGAGCAATTCAATCACTGCGTCGTTCAGTCGTCAGTTTCGTCGCTATCAGCAAGCCCAGTACCATCACAATGCGATCGATGCTGAGATGTCATGATGCCACTTCAGCGAGCAAAGCAAAATGGAACCGAAAAAGCAGCGTGTAGCTTCCATGCCCACCCCGGTATCGCTCGTGCTGCCTCTGGAACAGTATCATCCTGGTTCACGAAGTCCTCGACATGCTTACCTTTCAGTTGCCAAACGTTCGACCCCGTAACAGTTGACTTTTGTTGAGCCTCGTCAGGAGTAACGACGTTTATTGTGCACGCTTGACCGTTGTAGCAAGCGAC